CCTGGATCCCCCAGGCTCCTGCTGCCCCCTCCCCTGGTGTCTGCAGGCTCCGGCTCATGAAAAGAGAGCTGCATCCATACTTCACAGCAGCCAGTCCAGCCTGGCCTGGACCTGACCCTTCACTGATGCTGAGGGCAGAGCTAAGGCTGGATTAGCAATGGCAAAGGTGAGGCAGGGGCTCCTGCTTGCATTGTTCTGGTAGCGCCCCGGGCTCTCCAGGGTGCAAGGACACTCATGGGCCATGCTGCCAGGGGGTGCCCCTTGGGAAGGATCATCAAAAGTACAGCAGCAGGACCAGCACCCCTGGCTGGAAGGCAGCACGGGGTCCATGCCGTACATCGCTGGCAGACCCCAGTTCAGCCTGCAACCTGCTGAAAGGCAAGTGCAGCTTTGGGCTGCGCTAGTAGGAGCTTTCGGTGCAAGAGGCAGGGGCTGATGGTGCCTCTGCTCCCTGCAGGGTCGGCCTCTGCTGGAGCACCAGGCACAGTCTGGCCCCCACCTCTTAAGCTTCCTTTGGCCCCTCTCCTGTTTTTCTCCCAGCCTCTCCTTCAAGGGTGCAGTAGGTAGCCCCCAGAAGTGGTGGAGACTGAGAGCGCAGCCAGCTTCACATGGGGTTGGACATGCGCGGGGAGGAAAGGGGCATTGGTCACTGTCGAACACAGGAGTGAGGGATGTGGCCTCTGCATCAGCCCCGCCTGAACCCTCAGCGCTGGAGGCTGCAGGGGGGAGAGGAGGAGGGAAAACCCTGCGCAGACCCCATCACTCCCCCTCCAGCCTCCCCGCTCTGCTGCTGAGACCCACGGGGCACTGGGCAAGGTAGACCTAGGGTCAGATCCTGTCTATGGCAGCTCTGTTGCTCTTAGGGGCAGCAACCAAGGTGCCAACACTTGGAAAGCAAGGCCTAGGAGGAGCGGCTGAAGGTGCTGGGCCTGTTAGAGCAAGGAAAAGGTGCCGAAGTGGGGATGTGACAGCCCCCGAGGGGCGGCAGGGAGAAAAGCTTGTAGTTGCAGCCAAGTTGGTTTTGGGTGGATCTCGGGAGAAACTTCCTCAGTTAGATAGCAGGGCAGGGGCGAGCTCCCCTTCCCCGGAGGGGCTTGTGGTGTGTGTGGGCCGGGTGCGATCGAGGCCTGGCGCTGGCTGTGTCCTACCACAGGGATGGCCCAGGTGTGCCGGGAAGGGACCTGTTCCTCTTGCTGTTACAGATGTCAGGGTTTTTCCCCCTTCCCCAACAGCACGGGGTGCTGCTACAGCCAGGGCTGGGGCTGTGCCAATGCTCTTGCTGGGGCCTGAAGCCACAGGGTCCTGGCTGGAGGGTCTTGCCCCTGAGCTCAGGCCCGAACCAATTGCTCTATTTAGGGCCAGGAATTTTACCCCCTGCTCAGATCAGCCAGGGACCGGGCTGGGGGGAGGTTTTGCCTTCCTCTAGCAGGCCGCGATCCTTTTCATCTAACAACATTTTGGCAGCAGGAGCTTGGCCTCTGCAGCCCCCTGCTTTCCCTGAGGTCAGGGGTCGGGCGTGGTTGTGCTCCAAGGCTGGACACAGGGTTTATCTGGGTTGCTTTGGTCAGGGCTGCTCCTGCCTCGGGCCGGGCTTGGACTGCATGCGACCTCTGCCACTCCCTGGGCTCCGGGACGGAGCCGACCTGTGCCCGCGGCCCGGGGGCCTCATGCTACCGCTCCCCTGTGGCTTCCCCTCGCCGGCGGCGGGTCTCGGCCCGGCCAGCCCGGTGCCCCCACCCCCGTGCCCCTGGCGTGCTTGGTGCAGAGCCGGGTCCAGGCCACCACACCCAAGCGGCGAAAGCAAACGTGGGAGCCCCGGCCGGGCTTGGCACTGGCACCGGCACCGGCACCGGCGCTGGCACGGCGGGCGGCCGCCCCGGCGGCAGC